ACATTTTACTTTTTTTGTAGGATTGATTTATAATAAAATAAATTATTGTTTATTGATGTATAATAAAATAAATATTTATTATAAATAAAGGCATTTTTCTGAAAACTTGAGTTAAGAAAGTTGATAAGATGATAATTATTCAAACGGTCATAACTTTGCTTCCAGACACCCGAATGAGTTTATTTAACTGTCATTTTAGAGTAAATGATATGTTCTATGTCGTCATAACAAAAGCTCATTTTGACCTGAGAACAAGTTTACAGCCCTTTTATGATCTTGGGTCACATTTTACTATGTAGAATTGATTTATATTATTAATATTATTTTTTTCTTTCTAGTACATGCCTTTTGGTTATCTAAAATAATTTTTTGTTTTTTAATTTTTATATATTCATTACTTATATTTAACAACAACAAATAAATACAGGTTTCCCTCCAAGTAATGACCACTTTTGGGACCAGGGTTTTCATGGTCTTAACAGCTTTGTTCTCTAAAAAAAGATAAGACATTTGTTAATATGGGATCACAGAAAAGTGGTCTTTAATTGGAGGTGTCTTTAATTAGAAGGAGACCTTTCATAATAATAATGGTTTGCATTTGACCAAAAAATATTAGCATAAATGGAATTAACAGATATTTCCAATCATAAATATTTCATGTTAAAGGTTAATTGAGGTTACATTGTGCATATTATTTTTCTCATTATTAGGAGCATCATTGTAAAATGCACGTATCGACTTGCTTATCATGTAACATTTCTTGGCATGTCTACGTCTGCTACGCTATTTATTATTCCTACGGCAAGGACAGCATGCACAACAAGCACACTTTGTCTAGAAGGTGTTAAATTATACAATTCATCTCCAATAGGACTTAGTTTGATCATTTGGACAGTGTGTGTGTGTGTGTTGTGATGAAATGCTTATGAAAAATACAGCACTAAAAATCTGAAGTTGGTGAATATAATGCAGACAATTTATAGGATTTCCTTTATCATGTTTTCATTTCTTAGAAATGTTTAATGTTATAATAATAGGCTTCAATAAATAAATGAATATAATACTGTAATTGGTTTTTACTTTGATTTTCACTCTTTTGTTTTAATTTCTGTTTCCTAATTTCTGATTTCCTTGCAGCCTTTGCTGAAAAACACCATGTGAAAAACTGTTACCATGAATAGATAGTGTTTTGTGTTAATGTGTATATTTTTATTTATTTTACTACTTAGGATTTGTACTGCGTAACAAGGAGGTATTTTTCTTCTTCAGTTTATATGGCTTTGCCCACACACACTATATAATTTTATGTGACTTTATTTACCGGTACCCACATTGTATTGCAGGGTATATCAACTTCTTGCGACACTGAAATTGTGAACAACTATGGTAATCATATTTAACCATTGTTGCCATTTTTTTTATTATGTATAGAGGGTGCTATTGCATTTCAAGAAACTCTTTTCTTCTATAGGTTTACTGTATAAAAGTAAAGTTCTTCCAAATTAATGATTATTGAGGGGTAATAAGTTTCAATAGAATTTTATCAAAATTCTGTGACCTTCACCTCCTATGAACCCAAAATTTAATCACTCCTTACAATGTGTAGCTTTCCGCATAAATTTCATTATGATCCTTTTGTTACATAACCCCTTATTGGTAGAGGTAATAGTACTTATATAGCGACTAATGCATACATAGATAGTTATAAAAAAAGTAGTCAACCTAATTATCCAGTGACATAACAACGCGTCACTGGGCCCGGAGAAATAAAGTGTTAGGGGTCTGCATGCACTTGGGGTCTGAAATTAATATTGTATAAAAGTGTTATCTGTGAAAATCAGGAATTACATTGTGTGAATTTGCTAGTTTTGGTACAAGGTAAAGAAAAGTTGGAAAAGATAACACCCTATTTTAGCAACTTTAAAAAAGGAAAAGAAGGAAAATAATAAAAATTTATATAAAAAAAAGGACAAAGAAATATAGAAAATGTACAAAAATAATGCTTAATAAATTTTCCCTTTGGAAAAATCTGCATTTATTAAATTCAAATTTTTTCCTTTTAACTTTACTTTAAATTGTTTTATTTTCTCTATGTTGTTCACAACACACAGTTGTTTTGTTTTGTGAACATATGAATGTATATACCATACTGTTAATGTATATCCATGTGTATGAATGATTGTAATATGTGGAAACAAACAGAATGCTTGTAAAAAAGTAACGGTAATTAACTTTAGGCCTACATCTCACTATATAATTATGTGTTAAGCACTAGTGTCCTTGAAATAATTTCAGGGTAAACAGATTTAGCTACCTTTGGTATGAAGTGGTAATAGTTCTGAACAGCAGCTAGTGACGTATTAGTAGTAAGTGAGTAATTTATTCGGAAGCTACACTTTTTTAATAGTGGCACACTTCAAAAAAGTGAAGGTGCGTCCAAAAGAAAAAATAGTACACAGTTAAAAGACTTACAAAATACTGCTTAACTAATAATGAGCAAGCAAAATGCATGAATTAAAGGAATACACAGGTAAGGAACTTAAATTAATGCTTAATAGAAGCCAAAAAAAGAACGACCAACCAAAGTGAATGCAAAATAGCAAACAAAACAACTAATTTCCATTAATGCAGAATACATATACATGAACACACAGATACATAAAAATATATGTATATATGCACAAATACATACAAAAGGAAAAAAAGCACCAAAAGTCCACAAGGGCAGAAAAAAATAATAATTTTAAGGAAGAGCTAATCTTTGAATTAGCAATGTGGAAAAGGAAAATAATAAAAGTGCAATATTATAATTTACACATTTTTAAGGCAAGATCTTGTTTTTCATGCTTTGTTGTGTAGCCTCTACAGAATTTATCAAAGAAACCATTATGATGAATTTTCACAAGGGCTGGTCAGCCCATGGATGGTTGGCCTAAAGAAGGTTATAGAAAATGATAATGAGGAAAACAACATAAGTAAATAATTGTAAAAAATATGTATTGCCTTCTGAAGACATGAAATTAAGGGAAATATGCAATTATGTAATATAAAAAAACATGAAATGCATTTAATTTTTCTTTTAATTTTGTTTTATATTGAATTATGAACACATGTCTGTTGTTGATTGTGAACATTATATAAATTCCAGTACAGTATATTTGTATCATTGTATATATGAGTGAAAATGTAAAAATTAAAAAGCATGAAAAAAGGAGGACAGATAATGGTGGGTGACTCCCACAAAAAGACAAAAAAAATTAATAAATAATTATATTGTGTACAATTTTACTGAATAAAAAACATTAACTAAGCTGGAATGTGTGCATTAGAATATTTAAGAATATTTTATAACATTAATTTTTTTATATATTAACGCTAATTATTATATAATAATGGAGTGGTGTTTCTTTCTCCTTTTTTAATAATTTCCTGCTCCACCCCCATGAAATCCCCCCAGTTAAGACCTGCGAGGGACCTGTGATGCTTATTAATAAAATCCTTTAGGCTTATATCTATAATACATGCCATGGTGCTTATTCGAGAATGGCGCTTAGCAAAAATAATTCCAGTTCTTCAACAAAAGGTCTTTGGTGCAGCTATGTCAGTACATAATAATTACAATAATACTTGTATAAAGAATAGTGAATTCTCCCAGCCAAAATGGGAGTGGCAGGGAGTAACTTAACAAATATATATGCTTGTTGTATTCATGTTTATGACCAAATTTAACATTCACATTGGGAGCATGGTTCATATTATAGATATGTGAAGAAGGAAGGTATTTTTAATATGTATAGTGAAGCAGGGAGGGAAGCCACGGCTCCCCCCTCCCCCCCTTTGTACACAGTGTTAAAATTTTAAAGCTTATTCTTGAGCCAATACAAATTCTTTCCTGGGATCACTCAAAATGAATACTTCTAAAACATGTAAATATGCATCAGTACACGTTATACATAGGCCTAATAGAACACATAGGCCTAAGCGTGATT